TGGGTGTCGGTGACCTTGCCCTAGGAGGGGAGCCCTGGATTTCCCTGCCGGATATTGAACCCCGTAGAGTTGGAAGGGGTCCAGACAGGAGGTCAACCACATGGCGGGGAGACCCTTGAGGGGTAACCTGCATAGCCTCCTGGAGGACCGGTTTGGGCGGAGTCGGTACTGTAAGCGCCACCGGTACCAAGGGGCCCATCGGATCCGAGTCCCAATATCGGGGACAGTCCGGACGGTCCGAATTCCTGGTTTTCTTGGGAGGCTTGGAGACCTTCTCCTTCCTGGCCTTTTTATGGCCTGCCGACTTCTCGGATTCGGCATGCTTCCGCTTTCCATGCTTCTTTTTAGGTGAAGCAGAGGGAGCCACCGAAGCAGACGCACCTTCATCCAAAGGCAGTGAGGGTGGGGCCACAGAAGCAGAGCCAGATTTTGGGACGGCAACAAGCGGGTCTGATTGTATCAGAGCCCTATCCCAAAGGAGTCTCCGGAGGCAGTTTTCGCGGTTCTTCCTGGCCTGCTTGGAGAAGGCCAGGCAATACGCGCATTTATCCGTCCTATGCCCCTCTCCCAGGCAGAGGAGGCATAGGTCATGTGGGTCAGTTGGTGCCATTTTTGACCCGCAGTCCGCACATTTGCGGAAAGTCGCTTGCTGCGCCATCGCAGAAGAAGAAGAATAGAGGGATAGTGCAGAGGGCAAGTATATATTTTTGTTTTTTTGTTTTTTCAGATAGATAGATCGAAAGTAGAAATAACAAGAGAAAAACTACGAGGAACAATGAACTGGGAGCAAGGTTTTTTTTTTTTTAGAAGAAAAAACTGGGAAAGAAGGACAATCGAGAGCAAGGTAACAGCTCTAAGTGAAAGTCGAAAGCGGCACAAGGCACAGCGAATGGCGGTTGCAAAGACTGAACAAAATGGCGGACGCTTCGCTCTTTATAGGCCACAGGGGGAGGGGGAGCAGAGCTTCCTGCCAAAAACCGTTAGCTGTCAATCTTCCGGCCACAGGCACTGCGCAGGCGCAGTACCCATATGTGTGATGCACAGAGGCCATGACGAAGAAAGGCTGGACACCCACATGGTGGGCATGTCATGAGCAGAGCCGGCTGGAGCCGGGGGTCAAACTAGATGGCCCGGGAGGCCCCTTCTAACTCACTGTTTCTATGTCTCCCTGGAGCACAGATTGGTGATGTAACTGAGAGATTGCCAGGGCTCATACAGCCCACTGACACACATCCCTTCCTTCTTATACATGTGGGAACAAATGACACTGCCAAGCGGGGCTCTGAAGGAATCACATCAGACTTTGAAGCTTTAGGGAGGAAAGTCAAGAACTTTGGGGCCCAAGTAGTTTTCTCTTTGATCCTTCTTGTTCTTGGGAGAGAAACAGGCATGGAAAGAAAAATACTCCAGGTGAATGCTTGGCAATGAAGGTGGTAGCAACGAGAGAGATTTGGATTCTGGGACCATGGGCCATGCTTCCTGGAAGATGGGCTGCACCTTACAAGGACTGGAAAGAAGGTGTTTAGCTACAAAATAAAGCAATTTATCAGGAGGGCTTTAAGCTGAACCTACAGGGGAGGGAGCAGTAAACCTGGGCTAACAACAGACAAAGCCTTATGTACCACAACAAAGAGAGCAGCTTTAACAAGGCCCAGTAATAGCCTTTGAAAAAAGGTAGGAAGAAAGCATGAACTTGCACTTTTAATATAGGAAGGTAAATACAACCTAATAGGTATACTGAAATCTGATGGGATGACTCCTATGACAGGAATTCAACAACTGAAAGATATAACCTGTTCAAGAAAAACAGCCAAATGTAGCAAAAGATGTCCCCTGGATTTTAGGAATAATAATCAGGTAGATCCATAGTTGGCTATAAAATTGGACTCAGAGAGTGCTCATCAATAGCACCTTCTCAAACTAGGGAGAGGAAATGAGTGAGACACAGCAGGGTTCAGTGCTGGGTCCTGTGCTCTTCGACATATTAATGAATAATTTGGATGAAGTGCAGGGAATGATTATCAGATTTGCTGGGTGGATTACCCAATTTCCTGGATGACAAAACAAAGATTCAAGGTGATCTTGATATGCTGGAGTGCTGGGCTGAAAACAACAGAACAGAATTCAGCAGGGCCAAATGCCAGGTTTTGCACCCAGGAAAAGGGAACCAAATGCCTCATTACAAGACAAAGAGTACTTGGCTGAACAATACCACAAATGAGAAGGATCTTGAAATTATTGTATATCATAAGCTGGAGATGAGTCAACAGTGTGACGTGGCTGCAAAAGGGCAAATGCTATTTTATGCTGCATTGATAGAAGTATCACTTCCAGATCCCGTGAAGTACATGTTCTGCTTTATTCAGCACTGGTTAGGCCTCATCTGGAATATTGCGTCCAGTTCTGCGACCACAGCTTAAAAAAAAGTGTTGGAAAGAATTCAGAGGAGGGCAAGAAGAATGATTTATGGGTTGGAAAAAAAGCCCTATGAAGAGAGAGTGAAAGAATTGGGCATATTTAGCATCAAGAAGAGAAACTGAGGGGAGATAATCTACAGGTACTTGCAAGAATCTCTTCTCTATCATACCAGAGTACAGCACACAAAATAGCAGGTTCAAATTGCAGAAAGGCAAATTTCAGTTAGATATTACAAAAAAATCCTGACTGTTACAGCCATACAAGAATGGAACTAATGATCCTAGGAGGTGGTGGGCTCTCCCACACGGGAGGCATTCAGGATGCAGCTGGACAGCCATCAGAGGGATGGTTGAACTGGGAGTCCTGTACTGAGCAGGGGGTTGGACCTGAAGGCCCTTTGGCCCCTTGCGACTCTACTATTCTGTGATTCTAAATTCAGTCCTATGCATCTCTGGCTAGACAGAGAAAGACTTCTCCCCAAAACCCTGGAGAGCCAATGCCAACAGTCAGAATCAACCGTACTGGGGAGAAGGCAGTTTCCTATATTCTCTGGTATGCTCCATTGACATCAGCCTAAAGAACTAATACAATCTGAAACCATGTGTCTATTGGACATTCCTCCCGTGAATATTGGACCACTGATTATAGCAAAGTTTGTGGGGAGGGATATATGGATGGCTCGGGTCAGTCATGGCCTTCCCCGTCAGATCATTGGACTAGAACTCGCACCTTTGCAAACCAGCAACTGGGTGGCACCAGGTGGAGAAGGCAGAACTGTCCGTTGAACAGAGACAGCAAGAGGGGCTGATACAAAGATGAAGCTCCATTGCTAGACTTCACCATGAATTTGGGAAGTCAGCAGAGATTCACGGGTGCAAAGGCAGCTCTAGAGAGTGATCCCAAAGAGTCCATCCTAAAAGCTTTGGCTAAGCATTCGCAGTCTCCAGCCGTGGGGCTGGGGACAGATTTGTTCTCGTTACTTTGGAAGAGCTACAAGTCAGAGGAAATTGGCAAAAGCACTTCTGAAGTTCACTACTGACATGTACTCAGCCTGCAGAGGTAGCAGGAGGGCTGGGGGGAGACTTCACCTTTAGCCTAGGCTTGCCTAATTTTCTAAGTTTGCCCGACAATCTTCAGTGACCTTGGAAGTGAGGGCTTCATTTAACAGATGATCTACAGACTTGCTCTTGTCATGGTACAACTAGACTATTGCATAGGATTGCCAATATATTTGGGAGACTACCAAAAATGTTTGGGAGGCTGATGCATCCAGGCAGCACTGGGTTGCTTGAAGCATCTTATAGCTACGTGAGGGGTAACTGGAGGTGCTGGTCTTCTAATATGAACAGTTTGGGCATCACAAAAGCCTAGTGATAGCTTCTTTCATTGCACCCCATTATACTCTTTAAGGTTCCTGCAGAGGTAACCTGTATTTCTTGTTCAAATTTATTTATTTATTTAGTTGATTTGCTGCCCCACGAGACATCGGCTGGCTCACATAATTAACTGGTACATAAAGATTTTCCAATTTGCACATCAAGTTTCCTCACTGTCAGAGCAATACAACAGTGAGGAACCAGCTGCCTAGTGAGAGCATGGGCTCTCCCATACTAGAGACACTCAAAAAGAAGCTGGGCAGCCCTCTGAGTGGGATGGTGTGAACTGGTGTCCTGCAACAGCAGATGGTTGGACTCGATGGCCATCCCAGCCCCTTCCAACTCTCTATTCTAGGATTTCTGGTTTTGCTGCAGAGTGAAAATCCAGTCTCTACATAAAACGATTTTGCTTTCCATTGCAAAATAATACAACCACAGGAGAGGGGATTTGCCCTTTGCTTGTGGCTGAAACTGCAGTCAGCAGTATCTTTTTAAATGAACAAACATCTGGCTGGTCAGGGGTCTAGTACAAATGTTTCTCAAGGCCCTAAGAAATCACAATTCCCAACATTCTCTGGGAAAGCCATGTCAGTCAAGCCTGTTTCAAACTGTTTCAAACTTCGTCATGTATTTGCATATGCCAAAACACTGAGACTTCTGAATTCAGCACTTTCGTTTGTAAATGTAGCATTCATAAGGTAACCATTCATCCTACTGTACAGAGGAGAGTCCTCTATTTTGGAGAGCCGGTAAAGGATAGTAATTTGAAAGTGTCCTTCAGTCCAAACCTAGTTCATCACCTGGTGTCCTCTAGTACAAATGAAAATGAGCAGGCATGCTGGTCTCCTGGCACTGCAGTAAGTTATTTTGCATTTCTATTTAAATAATGGCCATTATTTCTAGAAGTACCACTATAAAAGTATTTTTGTATATGCAAAAATTATTCATATTTTGATATATTGGTAATGCACCTCTTCTTTGCATAAAAGCCCACACTAACTGCCAGCAAATGTGGGGGTGGGGGGCGGCAGGACTAGCTGTCACCTTTAACTGTATCTGGAGTTGCAGGAATCTGTGCAGAGATTAGAGGCTAGCAATACTGCAGATCTAGCTGCTGTTCAAGGCATAGGACCAAAGTACTTTAAACATGGAATATGAAACAAAAAGCATAATTATTCAAATTGAGCTGCCAAAAAAAGTGTTTACCTGTAGTTGTAAAGCAGGAAGCCTTCAATTACCAATATGTGGATATCATCAGAACGGGGTGCCTTTGAGTCACGTGAAACATTCACTCCATGGGATCGGGCAAATTTCACAGGATTCTCAATCCATGCCTGCACAGTACTCACCATAGCATCCATATCCAAGGAATCCAGCACTAGACAGAGGAAAGGAAATATATATATTATATATATACACACACCAAAACCAGTAAAAAATTAAAAACTCAAGTATGAAAATGTATAAATTATAAACGTGTATTTATAGAATTATGTAAATTTTACTATTAAGTCTTTAATTATGTTATAGTGATAAAGAAAATATACTTAAGAAAATATACTTAGGAAGATATACATTACTGCATCCTATAGCGAACACCGTTCTTACCATCCCATTGCTTAAAGCCGTCTTCCCCGACTTGTATTTGATCTTGTGGCTGAAATATAGTGAGCAATAAAACATTGCTGCAAATGCAGGGTGATCAGTTACCTACGATCCGATCACAACCTGGACACTACTGCAAAATACACACATGTAACAACGGAGGCAAAGTGCTCACTTAGCAAAACAGCTTGATGCAGAACAATCATAATGCAGATTATTAATCACCCTTTGGGCCACCCCAACCCAAGAGTTCCAACGTTGTAGCATTTGCTCTTGGGTTCTCCACTGAGTAATAAATGCCATCTCCAGTGACCACCTGGCCTACATTGCTCTTGAATGCATGGCTGTAAGAACTCAGCTGCAGTTTCAGGACATTAGTAATGGAACTAGTTTTAAGTTACAGCTGCCATATGGCCCCAGACGCCGTATTAGTTTATGCACCTAAAATGACCCGACACCACCTTAATGCTGATGTCACGGAGGCCTAGCTCTATAAGCAATGCAAGCTCTCCTGGAAACTGTATAGCCATGATATACAAGTGTGATAGAGAGATAAATAAATAGCATTTTTAAAAGTTTTCTGCTAAACTTTGACTCTCATTTTTTAAAAATTTCAGCTTCTATTTTTCATTTATCAATAGAATATAAGAAAACAAAATTCCTGGCTTAAGGTGTCCCTGATGTTGCCATAAAATTTCCCAACATGAGGGAGAGGGGATGTCACATCTTTTTGGTATGCAACTAACTGAAGGAACAGCAGGTCCGGCAGGAACAGGCAGCACACCTGTAGGCTTTTTCTTGGTTCCCGAAAAGGACATCCCAAACAGCTTGCATTTGTTGTTAGGTAATCGTTGCAGGTAAGGGGATGCCTGGCTCAGCTTCATGGTACCTTTCGTTGCATTTGTACCACGGCACAGCAAAGATGAGTGCTGCGCCACACGGCAAAAGCAGAACGGGTGTCCAAGGCAGGGAAGGCAGGCACTGCTGTTCAGCTGGTGCAGTGGGAGTTTTTAATGCATTGCCTGCAGAGGGTAAAGCATCTGGGCTCTGTTCTGGCCAGCTAAATCCTTTTGGCAAATGGACAGGCTGAGGGCTACTGCCCTTCGACAAACTGTGCTGCTTCTGAGGTCAGACTGCAACGGCTGTTGACAATCCCTTTTCTAGAAAAGTCTTAAGGGAATGAGAGTTGCAGCCATGGCTGCTTCAACTGCTCCCCTGAAGACTAGGCTCATCCAGATGCCACACAAACAGGTTTTTTGTTTTTTTAAGGTAACCAGGAGGTTGGCATGTTACAAAGCGCAAATGGCCCTCCAGCACCATTTTTATTTGGGTTAAAAGAGTCATTTTGTGATTTGGAGCTCAGACCCTACTTCTGCCTTGCACTTCGGTTCTTTCTTTTCTTCCATCTGCCGTCTGGAAAATTAGGGCCTTGAATCAGCCAGGTCCACTATGGCAGCAATTTAATGAACGGGCACACCCTACCCAGTAGCAGCCATTTTGTGAGAGCACCCATGACACTCTCCAAATTCCCACATGTACAAACAATTCCAAATGGTTGGGAATCCTTGTACCCGACTGAAAATAAATTTCCTTGACATCCCTGGAATTTTCTCCTATGATCTGAGCACCATGTGCACACTGTTCTTGCTGGGAGTACATTGGTACATCAGAGCATGCAATTTCCGTAGTCCTGTTTAAGGCAGTCAAATGCCAAAGTGGACACCTTTAACACCTGTGAAGAGGTGTTTCAGCAGGGGTAACTCTTTCTCCCAAAATGTGACACGTTTTTGAGGTGGAAGGACTGCGCTGCAGATATGTAGTACAGATGTACATGTGAACACATGTAATTTTCCTCTTCCCTCCCCATCCATTTTTCCTTGGGTCCTGTAAGATTATATAAGACATGTCTTATTAAACTGATTGATTGTAAGCTTCCCTGGGGGGCTTTTTAGCTGAGGGGAATATTTTAAATTAACATGTATGATGCAGGATACACATGTGAGCTTCTGACCCAGCCATCCATGGGAGTGCGGTTTTTAAAATACCCTCTCCTAAATCAAATGTTTTGTGTCTTTTTCTCCAAAATTGTTTTGATTTGTCTATTTTGTTTTTCCTTTATCCAAACCTCCCCTTTTTGTATTACCTTAAAGCATCCTCTGTCATACAAGCATATATAATATGTGTAATTTTTGCAATATTTGCTAGCGCAATTTGGGATCTTAGATTACCCATCACCTGGGGAATTATAAATCAATACTGCAGCCTTTGTGGGCTCAGCATACTAGCAGGGAGTTGCTAAAGTTACAAACCCATGCGTGTTGGGCAGGAAAAAGCCTTTCCGCCCCCAGCATGGCTGGGTGGGGCATTCTTGGGCTCATGCAGCTTCTTGTCTGACTGTGCGCAGGACTGTGCCCTCCGCGATAAGGCGGGCCACACCTCCTCAATGACTCATCGCCTCCAGTTGCACCAGCCGTGATGTGCAGAAGCAAGTGTGTTCGGGGCATTCCAGGGTACACCCAAAGTGCACACGGGGCAACATCAACAAACCTCTCGGCCATAAACTAGGTCTAGGACAACTTAGGGTATAATACGCTCCAGAATCCTCTCACTACACTGTGCAGATGGGATAAAAATCTGAAAACCGGAGCTGCATACGCGATTGCTGCCATTCCCCGTCCATGGCAGGGTTTCCTTGAAGCATGGGCATTGCTTCATAACGCATGCTCACAGCAGCACAGCGTGGCTCAGTGGTCTGAACCTGGGGCTGGGACCCAAGAGGTCCAGCTTCGAGTCCCCAGTCAGCCATGAGACTCACTGGGGATCTGGGACAGACACCAGCTCTCCTCCTCACCTACCTCACAGGGTTGTGGTGAGGCAGAGGACTACGTGAGCCACACTGGGCTCCTTGCAGGAGAAAACCTGGATATACATATAATAAATAAACATAATGGCTTGAAACCAGAAAAGAGAGCATCTCATCTTTCTCTCTAGTTATAATGTTTATGGGAACACTAGAGATTTTAATCCAGTCCATGATTACTATAAAAATGGGGTGGCTGTTATTCCAATTACTGAATCTCGAATAAAAGTTTGTTCGTGCTTGTGCATGTAACTTAAACTAGTGCTGATACCCACCAGGCAAAATAAACATCTCCTAAGGAACATCCATGAATTACAATGCACCTTGGGTCCTTCATCCATTCTTGCAAAACCTTTGAGAACATCTGTTACCAGGCCAGTTGGAAATGTCATCCATCCATCCATCCATCCATCCATCCAATGGTGATCCTACACCCCCTCCTAATAGCTACCACTCATGCCAGGCAAGAAGGTGTGTGCACAGCACACACAACAGCAGATGAAAACAAAACACCAAACAAGTAAAAACCAACTTACCTTGAAGAAGTCATCTTGATGCACAACGCAACAGTTTGGAAGGGCTTTGATAAGTCTATTGGTCAAAGTGGTTTTGCCACCATTGGTCACACTAGATAAGGAAATTTGAAGCAGAATTTGGGAGAAAAATGTTAGGACAAGCTTCGGAGCAGCAATTGTCAAAGTGCACATATGTCACCTTTGCATGGACGTCACCTCAATCTCTGGATTATTTTTGTTATTATTTTACCCGAAAACGTGATTAGTCTTCTTTGGCATTCAAATAATCCTTATTTGAAAGAGCTGTTAGATATTACAAAAAGAATTAGCTTGCAAACACACACACTTGCACAATTAAAATGAGATTTATTGTTCAATATTTACTTTTTTCAGATGTTAAAGGTGTATTTTATATTTGTCAGTTTGCACAGCACTTTAGGCTAAAGGGCACAAGCCTATGCAGGTTCAGAAGTGAGGGGGTGGGTACCCTACATTTCCCAGCATTCCTCATCAAGACTGCAAATGTGAAGAGTGGAAGACCTTCTAACCTGGCTGGGGAATGCTGGGAGTTGTAGGACTTGCTTCAGGGTTAGGGGTGCCGGGAGTTGTAGGACATGTCCCAGATTAAACATACCTAGGATTGCATTTTAACTCTTTGTAATGCAGGTAGAGAACATAGGTTATTGGGCAGATTAAAAATATGAGCAAAACAAGCATTTCCTCTTCCTCTCATAATAAAAGAAACACTATGTAATGTAGTGGTTAATGCATCAAACTGGAACCCAGATCAGAGTTCTAGGCCCAGCTCCACCATGAAACTCACCTGGATTCTCACCTTAACCTACCTCTCAGGGTTGTTGTGAGGATAAAATGGAGATAAGGAAGAGGACTGTTTGAACTATCCTTGCAAGAAAAAGACCAGATACCAATAAAAGGTATGTTGTCTTTGGTTTGCAGCCTAGCCTACCTCACAGGGTTGTTGTGAGGATTAAGAGAAATAGGTAAACTGCCCTGGGTTCCTTGTAGAAAAAAAAAGTCAGAGGTACGTATAACAAAGAAAAAAAAAATAAAAAAGTCTCCCAGGTTCAAAGCTACCCACCTCACAAGGCTGTTGTTGTGAAGATAAAATGGAACTGGATGCTGCCTAAACAATATGGGAACAATTAAAAAACCTATTTACATTCCTAGGCACTACTACCCAGGGAATTGTTATTGTTCAGTCACAAAGCCATGCCTGCCTCTTCGCAATCCCACAGACCTCAGCAGGGACTTGCAGGAGTCTCTGCCAGCACCACAATTCAAAGGCCTCAGTTCTTCGGCGCTCAGCCTTCCTTATGGTCCAACTTTCACAGCCAGACATTGCAACTGGGAAGAGCATAGCCTTGACTACACACACTTTTGTTGGCAGGGTGACGTCTCTGCTTTTTAGTATGCTGTCTAGATTTGCCATAACTTTCCTCCCCAGGAGCAAGCATCTTTTAATTTCTTGGCTGCTGTCACCATCTGCAGATATTTCTCTGGAACTCCCTAGATTTCTTCACAATCCGGTGAATGTTGGCAGTTTGATCCCTAGTTTCTCTGCCTCTTTGAAACCCCTCTTGAACTCCAGGTAGTTCTCGGTCCACATACTGCTGGAGCCTGGCTTGTAGAATTTTGAGCATAGGTTTGCTAGCATGTGAAATGAGCACAATTGTTCGGTAGTTTGAACACACTTGGCATTGCTCTTCTTTGGAACTGGAACGTAAATTGATCTTTTCCAATCCTGCGGCCACTATTGGGTTTCCCAAATTTGCTGGTATATTGAATGTAGCGCTTTTATTGCATCCCCTTTTAGGATTTTGAGTAGTTCAGCTGGAATACTGGCACCTCCACTAGCTTTGTTGTTGCTAAAGCTTCCTAAGACCCATTTCACACCCCAGAATGTCTGGCTCCAGGTCAGGAATACTCAGGAATTAGCACCATTAAACTCATGGAACTGACTCCACTGTAAACCAAGCACACATTCGGGAAGCTACGGCGCCCCGTCTCTCTCCGAAGCGCATGCGCACTGCGTGCAGGAGATTCTCATTCACCTCCCCGTTTCTTTCCCAAACAAGGTGAAAGGAAAGGAGGGAGGAGCCCCAATGGCACGTTTGAAATAGCCCGCCTTTCCTTAAAGCTGGGCCGTGATTGGCTGCCGGGCTGCGCGAGAGAGAAGAGGAGGGGAAACGCTCTGTCTATAAATACTTCCCGCCGAGTTTCGTTAAACCGTTTCTGGGAGGCGCGCGCGGGAGATGCTTTGGGCGGGAAGGCCGAGCGGCGGGCGGAAGCCGTTCGTCTCCTCAGAAAGGCGGGAGAGGCCGCTCGAGCTTTTCAGACCCCCCATTTCCGTACGCTTTCATTTGAAATGGCAGTAACGGTACTCGCAGAACAGTTAGAACGGAAGGAGTGTGCGTGGGGATTGAATTCGCAAAGTGAGGCAGGGAACGGCATTTCTCAGAACTGGGTTGAAGCGGGTGGAAGAAACTTGTCCATGCTGCGAAAACTTGTTTAAGTTACCTCTGTATTGCCCTCTAAAGAGAAAAACCTCTTTCTTTTCGGGAGAAGTCTTACGTGTCCCAGCATGCCTTGGGTTTTTTTTTTTTTTGCTGTGTGAACAGGCATAGGATTTTGCTTAACACTCCCCAGGTATTTGCACTTCTCTGGGTGGTGTGGCTAAATTCCTCAGGTATGTAAAATCGCAGTAAATGAAATCTGTTATTGTGCTCATGAGGTTTTGTGTTGAAAAGGAAAAACATCAATTTCCACTTGCATCCTCAAATTCTCAAGTCATTTGCAGTTGCTTTCAGTATTCCAGAATATAAGTTCTTTGGGGAGGTTGTGAATTAAGTTGTTAACCCTGCACATACATTGGGTGCATTTGGCTTTTTGTGCTGCTGTATTAAATAGGCAATTCCTTCCAAAAGTGACAAAGGCTGCAATCCTATGCCTGTTTAAACAGGACAAAAAGCCCTAACAAAACATGCCACTATGGAGAGGAACATACAGGCTATCTGCAATTCTGTGGAAGTTTAGACAGGAAAAAAAAAATCCTACAATTCCCAGAATGCCCCAGTCTAGGCAAACATTAGATTAAAAATCACTTCTTAAAGTGCAATCTCATGCAAGTTTCTGACCCAATTTGCCTAGGATTGTACTCTTAAGCAGTGCTAATCCTTTGAAGATCTAGAGGCACAGTGTACAAGTCCCAGCACAAGATGCTGGGAACTCCATAGGGGTATTTCTGTCTGAACATGCACAGAATTGCAACTTAGTAAGACTGATCCCCAGGTGAAACTGGTCCTCCACATGCTCAGCTGACAAGCCCAGCAACTGGCAGCTACTTGTTCTGAGAATTTAGCAAGGTTTAGTGCTGAGTTTGCTTCGGACTTTGTGTAAAAGACTGATGTAAAAAGCCCTAACCCTAAACACAAACAGGATTGCACACTTGTTAACAACATCATTCAAAAGTCTTTCCCCCAAAGGAGCTTACAATCAAGAATATTGAAAGGAATTGGAATTGCCCACAGAATTTTAGTGGAAGGGCTGGCAGTTGATCCCTTTTTAATACAAAACCTCATGAACATGACAAGTGTATGATTTTGATGTAAATTGAATTAACTTTATACTATCATGCTCTTTAAAATATACTCATGCTCCATTAGGAAGCCTCAGTGAACTCAGCAGTTTAGAAGGAAAAAAGTTACTTGATATGAGCATTACAGAAGCTAAAAAAGTCTTACCCATTTCCATCCCAGCTTTGCTCCACAGGAACTCAAACTGCTATATAGGGTTCTCTCTCCTTCAATTATGTTCCTAAAAACCCTGTGAGGTAGGAGAGTCAGCAGCACAGTGACTGGCCTAAGGTCATCTGATGAGCCTTGTGACAGGGAAAGGATTTGAATCCAGTTCTGTTAGTCCTTAAAGGTGCTGGTCTGGGCATGCTGGAAGTTATAGGACTTTTGCTATCTAAACAGGTAATAGGATCATATGCTCATCTCCCCCTGCAGGCACAATTTCAAAAGTATTGGGAGGGAAAAATGACTACCTTGTGTCTTGGATTGGGTCCAAGACAGTCATGTAAAAATGGATTCAAGGAAGTACATGAGCAGATGTCTCTCAGTATTTAATTCCATATGATTTTAAAAAAAACAAACTCTCAATACGTTCCATATTTATTTTTTAAAAGTGCCCTTTCCCCACAGGCATTTTATTTAGAATTACATCACTTTCACAGTGACATGCCCAATATTATTAAAAGTGATGCACTCAGAACTGAGACATCAGAATAAAATTTTAGACTATGCCTTTTAATTAAATTGGAATGGGAGGATTTATATAAGCCACTTTGGCTTTTCTGCAGGAAAAAGGCAGGATATAAATATGTTATTATTATTGAATTACAACTATATCCTGCCTTTTTCCTCATACAAGGAACCCAAGAAGGCTTACATAGTTCTCTACTCCCATCTTTTATCTTCACAACAACCCTGTGCAGTAAGTTTGCCTGAGAGCCTGTGACTAACCCAAGGTCACCCAGTGAGCTTCATGGCAGAGTGGGGACTAGACCCCCAATCTCCCTGGTCCCCCATCAACACTCTCACTGGTTCTCAGTTTAAGTTAAACATCATTTCTTCCACCCCCACCCCCCTTCTATTAGCAAGAAGCTGCAATCACATCTTCTGCATCTTTCCTAGGCCAGATAGTCCTCTGAAAATCCTAGGGATTTCAGCTGTTGAAATGCCCTTTGCATTGGAGAATGGCAGCCCCATTCATCCACAGTCATTGGTGAAAGTGGGTATTTTTGAAAATGCCCCCAAGTTTGAGCAGAAAGCCTTGCTCAAATTATCCAGATGTTTCGTGATGTAGAGTTTAACATTTTGCACTGAATGGGCTTGCTGATCCTCACTTTTCTTTTGAGTGTCCTTCCTCCACCTACTAAACGTGCAAGTGCATTTCAAGGTCTTGCTGTATCCAAGCACAACAGGAGCATGCAAATATAGAAAGAAGGCAAGAGATGAACTTACCCTCCTATTCCTATGATGTACTTCATCTTCCTGGGGGTGTTTTGGGGTTAGGAAGGAATGGAGAGGTGGAGAGATGCTTGAAATGTGAGAAAATAATAAAATAGAATGAAGGTCTTCAGACCTAAGCCTGCCTTTACTTAACTATTCCATTCAGGAAAAAAGGGCATGTGTGCCTGTCCTTTATAGGCCAGTGCGACAAGCCTCTCCCCTTCCCCTTCTCCCCGCCCCAAGTGAAGGATGGAAAAGCGCCAAAAGCTCTCAAGACCAGAAGGGGCACATTTGAGCTCCTAACTAAGCACAGCATGCGCAACAGTCATGCGCATAACAGCTGCACCTGTTCCACACTTCTCACAAGTCCTCACTCACTTCTCACTTGTCTGGGTTGTTTTGTTATAAATAGCTTTTTGGATGGCTTCCCTTTGCCTAAATTAGTAATGGGAAAGTAGAAATGTCACCCCCTTTTTACACTTCCAGAGTAGAATTATTTCTTCTCTTTCGTAGAAATGTATCTGCCAGAATAATGTCTTTACTTCTACATTCTTCTGAAAGAGCATTATAAATAACAACCAATCATTATTCATTTGTCATCCATAAATATAATAGAAATAAGGAAATGAAAAACATATAATGTTAAAGTACAAATGGGCCAATAAAAAGCTGTAATTGTTAAAACGTATGTGATTAACAATACAATCTTTAAAAAGCTCATTAATTTTACATGGGGGCAAGAATAATCTCAGGAGTCCTTATTATAGGAAAAAGTAGCAGCCTGACTGATTTATGTCAGCTAAAAGTATTTCAAGATCTTTGTTCTAAAAGTATTTCTAGCTCTTTGTTCTAGAATGGATTTTGCAGAGCAATAATCATGTTATTGCTGTAATCATGTTACAGGGTGGGCCAAAACATGGTGTACAGTACTGATCAGGTCAAGGTATTTTATATTTTTCATTATTTGTTTTAATAAAGGACAATGACAGGAAGTGAAGAACAAAAAGTGGATTCTGAAACAGAATTGGAAGACTGAAAATGCCAAGAAGATGCACAGAGTGTACCAAGAGGGATTTGACACTGCTGCTCTGCTACATCTGGCAATTTATTGACAGGTGCTAAACAGAATTTATTTGTTGTTCTGCGACACATAAAATCTTTGCTTGTTTTGCACATATTCATTCTGCATCGTATATAAAAGCCCAAGCTGAACCAAGACTGGATTAGTTCTGCAACTGGAAGAAGAAAAATATTCACAAAGATGTATTTTAAAGCTATCTGCTCACTGAATTATATTTTGTAAATATCCTGCTTTCTGTTCCACTTAACAAGTCAAAATAAACAGGATAATAAAACAAAGATGTTCTATGCAATACCTCAAACAAAATAGCAAACAAAACACAACTGTCATAACATACTGGCCATTCCCGAAAAAATCAGAACAGAGTTGTCCAACTGAGCTCTTTGCAGGGGGATGGTCAGTGGTACACTAAAGGTCCTTGAGGCCATTTGCATGGCCTGGCATGGCAATGTCCAAAGGAGCGCCCCTGAGGCTAAGGAAGGCTGAGCGCCGAAGGATTGAGGCCTTTGAACTGTGGTGCTGGAGGAGACTCCTGCGAGTCCCTTGGACCACAAGGCGATCCAACCGGTCAGTCCTAGAGGAGATCAACCCTGACTGCTCTTGAGAAGGCCAGATCCTGAAGATGAAGCTCAAGTACTTTGGGTACCTAGTGAGAAGGAAGGACTCCCTGGAGAAGAGCCTCATGCTGGGAACAACAGATGGCAAAAGAAGAAGGGGGCAGCAGAGGATGAGGTGGCTGGATGGGGTCACTGAGGCAGTCGGCGTGAGCTTAGCTGGACTCCAGGGGATGGTGGGGGACAGGAGGGCCTGGAGGAGTGTTGTCCATGGGGTTGCGATGGGTCAGACACGACTTCGCAACTAACAACAACAACCCACTCTTTTTGTGTTCTGGGACAGGGCTTGCAGGGCTTTGACTCAAGTGCTTCTGCCACTTTCATGACATCGCTGTTTAACAGGCGTTTGACTAGGAGCAAAAAGTCACTCTTCCTAGATCTCGGGTCACAAACTTGTGCTATGGACTTTTGGCAAACTACAGAGAATAACCTAGGGTGAACCTTTTAGAGACCAAGAGCCCAAACTGCAACCCAGAACCCACTTATTTATCACAAAGTGCCAACACTGCAGTAAAACCTGAATACTGAGGCTTTAGTTTAGAAAAAACAACTCATACATTAACATCTTTTGTCTTCAAAGAAAAACGCAATAACAGAAGGAGCCATGTCAGCGCCCCCAAGCTGGGGGACGCCGGGCTTACTTGGGCCCTGGGCGTGTGTACTCCCTCCCTCCTTGCCCCAAACCAGCCACTGGGAATGCTGCAGAAGCTTCGGCAGCACTTGAAAGTTTACCAGAGGGGCAGAATGTGGGGGAGAAGGACCCAAACTAAAGGTGAGCAGAGGCTATTGCTGATCCCTTCTACGCTTCTGTTGGGATCTTCCTTGAGGCGCCTCCATGGCGCTGCCCAGCCTTAGCAAGTGGGTTGGGTGGGGAGGGGGGCCCCCACTGTGTGCCTACTCTTCTCGCTTCGCAGCAGTTCCAGCCTCCACTGTTCCTCGTTTTGGCCACCTCCCCAGGAAGCACCATATCGATCCTGGGTGCTCGCTCTCTCCAGCTGCTGCTGCTGCTCTGCCACCTCGACTCCATCACTTGCTCAGACGCGCAGGCAGGCAGGTGTGATGCTGCCTGGCTGTGCCTGCGGTTACCGAGTCAGCAGTGTCCTGTAATTGTGCTAGGAGGGAGGCTTGGGTGGCTGCTCACATGCTGCGGGCCGGGAGGAGGGCGCTGCCGCCAGCACTCAGCATGCCCGCTCACTGCTCACCTGCTCCCTTCCTGGCGCACCTGCCGTGGCTGTTATGCCTGCCTCTGGCCACCTGTTCAACACCGCCTCTTGTGGCAAGTCGCAGTTAATGAGTGACATGGTTGCCTGGCTCCGTTACTCTTTCTGAACATGTGCATGGCTGCTGGGGCGATGCTGGGGTGACTTGGCTTGTGTGCCAACAGAGGGCTCTGCATGCCCGCTGTGGCACGTGTGCCATAGGTTCGCCTCCACGGCTCTAGAGGCTTGATTCGGAGTGAATTCCCCTTGCCAAGCAGCAATATCTGAACCAAGCTGCTGTGGGCTGGCAGGATGCTCAGCAATCTATGAGGAATGTGACATGCTGATGAGCCCTTCTCTTTGTCCCTTTCCATGCCTTGCGTGGGAAATGAGATTCCCTGGTACCTCTATGTGAGGCAGGGAAGGAACTGTCTTGGAGCAGCTGCTGCTCTGGACAGGCAACACTGAGGTAGATAAAAGCTGCTGCCAGGATGCCTGGAGGAAATCATAAAGCAGGGCAAGTCAGCCAGATCCGTGGGGTCCTGTCTGGGAAGGAGACTGCACACGGAGCTCAAAGCGGGGAGGGTGCTCCTAGTTCTGTTTCCAGTTTAGCTTTGAAAATACTACTGATGTCTTTAAATAAATGGAAAAATAGTGAGGCTAAACTAAGTCTGACAGCAGGTATCAAATGGCTTGTGGAAAAAAACAACTGTGGGCTGAGAGTTCATGTCACAGAGGACATATCTGACATCTGTTTGCACATTTTGTATTTCTTAAAACAGCAATTAATCCCATTTCAATCGCTCCATATGCTTTTAAGTCATAATGCTAACATGGCATACATGAAATTGCATCCAGTACACCCGGCAATATACCGTATTTTTCGCTCTATAAGACGCACTTTTTTCCCCCTCAAAAGTAAGGAGAAAAGTCTTTGCATCTTATAGAGCGAATGTGTGTGCCCGACGGCCAGGATGCTGCCGGCCCGCCTGCACCACGTGGCACCACCTGGCCGGCACATGCTCGGCGCGCCCTGCTCCGCCCCCCCTCCGGCGCAGGTGAGAGCTGTGCCGCTCAGGGGGAGGCGTGCAGAGGAGGAGCAGCCACGGGCTTTAACCCGCCGGCCGCACAGAGACGGACTGCTCACCCCCACCGTCCGGGAAGACCTGCTGCCACCGCTGCGCCGCCCGGAAGACCACCGCCGGCACGCTGCCAGCCCGGCTGCACCACACCTGGCAGGCATGCGCTCGGCGTGCCCTGCTCCGCCCCCCTCCTCCGGCACAGGTGAGAGCTGTTAATCACAGGTCGGTGTGTGTTTTCAAATGGCAACCCGTCTTTTAATGAAGCCCATGGGGAAGTGATGGGGAATGTGCCTGTGATTATCAGGAAGCTTGCCATGGATCAGTTATCTGTTAGTTGATCAGACACTTTTTTTTAGGATCAGTGGATATTTGAACAGCATTACCTTCATGTATGAAGTTTATTCTTCAAAGGCTACTTAGTCCGCTGTGTGTTTGATTTACCGTACAATATCTCATTTTTTGTCGGAAGTTTTTTTCTATTATTTACTAGTAGGGCAGCGTGGACATTACTGGCTTTTTTAGATTTGTTATTGAATTGTCTGCAGCAGCTCTTGTATAACTGGTGTAGATAGTGGATTCCTTCAATAATTCCACTACTGACTAAGAAAGTGATGCCAGTGATTGTGAGCAACAGAGCTTCTCAAATTCTGACTCTAGTGATGATGAGTTCTATGAGTTCAACAAAAACTAGAAGAGTACTTGAACTTTAAAGTCTCTCTTTTGTTAATGACAGTGATGATGGTTCTTAATGCCACTGTTGCCTGCTGTTCACTTTACAAGGTTGTAATACGGTATTACTGTATTCTGTTATAGTTTATTAAATAGTTTAGTAAACTATTTGATTCAGAATATTTTTTTTCTTGTTTTCCTCCTCCAAAAACTAGGTGCATCTTATAGAGCGAAAAATACGGTATGTGAACAAAGCAGAGCCAAGAGCAGTGATGTTTGCACCTCCTAGTGGTGGCTGTAATTTCTGGGCTTATAATCATGACAAAAAATAAAGATGATTTAATGTGCATATTTTCCTGGGCTCCAAGATCACCGCAGACAGGGACTGAAGCCAAGAAATTAAAGGACGCTTGCTCCTGGGGAGGAAAGCTATGGCAAATCTAGACAGCATACTAAAAAGCAGAGATGGCACCCTGCCAACAAAAGTGCATATAGTCAAGGCTGTGGTTTCCCAGTTGCAATGTACGGCTGTGAAAGCTGGACCATAAGGAAGGCTGAACGCCGAAGAATTGAGGCCTTTGAACTGTGGTGCTGGAGGAGACTCCTGCGAGTCCCTTGGACTGCAAGGCGTTCAAACTGGTCAGTCCTAGAGGAGATCAACCCTGACTGCTCTTTAGAAGGCCAGATCCTGAAGACAAAACTCAAATACTTTGGCCATGTCAAGGGAAGGAAGGACTCACTGGAGAAGAGCCTCATGCTGGGGACGATGGAGGGCAAAAGAAGGAGGGGACGGCAGAGGATGAGGTGGCTGGATGGGGTCACTGAAGCAGTTAGGGTGAGCCTAGGTGGACTCCAGGGGATGGTGGAGGACAGGGAGGCCGGGAGGAGTGTTGTCGGTGGGGTCGCGATGGGTCAGACGCGACTTCACGACTAACAACAACAATGTGCATATTTAAAAATAAGGAAGAATGTTGCACGTCTGTGCGGGGGACATCATAAGCCCAAAGTTCTGATGAGTCGAGATGGGGGATTCACAGAAAGCCACATACCATTGTTAGTCCTGCATTTATATGTTATTTATTTTTATATTTATAGCCTGCTTTTTCCTGCAAAGAACCAAAGACAGCTTACGGAATCCTCTGCTGCTCCAGGGTATCTTCTTCACCTTGTGAGGCGGTTAGGCTGAGAGCTGGCAACTGGCCCAAAGTCACTCAGTGAACTTCATGGCGAGTGAGGATGGAACCTGGATCTCCTGAGCCTCTGCATTGTGGTAGCACGCTGTCTCTCTTGGCATGTTTTTTATTCTCTCACAGAACCTTGAAACCATTAGTGATGGGTTTGTATTGTTTCTAATAAAGAATTTCTAGTAAATATGATTTCCATCATTGATGTACTATAGTAGCTACATAATTTAGAAATTATTTGTTCAATTTGGAACTTTTAATGAATTATAGTCATAGACTATAGAATAGCAACTTGCTATTCTGTTATAGTAAAACTACTGTAGCCACTGTTTCACTTAACCACAGACCAGACAATGGTTTTTGTTTCTGGAGTTTTGTGGCTTACTGCTCCACAGACAGCCATGCGGGGAGCACTCCCCTTTGTAGCAGCTGCCACGACCATCCCAGAACCCCATTTAAAGGGTGGGTACCAGACCCAGGACCCAGTGTGTGATTCCATGTAAGGCTCATGATGTGACATAGGATGAGCTCCCCTGGAGTGGGCTGCACTCCAGTGTGTTGGGTCTTGTTTTAAGCTAACAGTTATTAAAATTTCAAAAGAAGTAATTGTAATTCAGCTACCTGTACACATCTGGTCAACAATATTAAGAGTTAAAGTTTGTGGGGCAGGCTAGAGATACTTGTGTTTTTTCCATTTCTGCATGGCTCTGTGCCCATAACCTCCTGCAGATGTGGAAGGCTGACTGTATAGCACTCAGTACTATCTACTGGGGAACTTGGAACTTATTCCCTGCAGATTTTTTTTTTGGGGGGGGGGAGATTCCTACTATATTCATATACAGTTATTCATAACTATTCATATTTTCCTTTGTCAAATGAAACAGTTATCGAGATGTCTATCTAAATTAAAATCATTAACCACAGAAGTTATAGGTAAGAAGATGATGCTAACTTCATTACAATTTTGACTCCTATATCTAACAGCTCATTAACAACCTGTATGAATACTTAGGATCAGTCTATCAAAATAGCCTTCTTTCATTTTTATAATGATGTATCTTATAATGGGATTGTACAGAAGATTTTTTTCCAACTATAAAAATGCATGTTCTACATCTCTAGATTTAATCCAATTTAAACAGCTTAATATACATTTTTATTACATTGTATACCAAGTCTTAATTGTGTTTTATCCCTTGCAACAATTGATTAATTTTTGTAATTCAGTCAAAGATTTTTAGTCAGTATTATTTTTAAAATTGGCAAATTAAATTTTGGTAATGTATTAATTTTAACTGCATTAGTTTGTAACTGAAGACAATTTCAACACTTTTCATATATTTTACCTTCTTGCATATTCTTAATATAGTGTGCATTTTTTTCATTTTTTCAAATTGCTCTCTTGAAAACATAATTCCTTTATATTGGATAGGCCTATTTTTTACTTGTAACCATTTAAATTTCAGAGAAGTCTTTCTGGCTCTATTAAAACCATTTTTACTTCCTGATGATTCATTTATAAATTGATTTCATATCCTGCAATATTCCTGCAAGTATCTATCATTTCTTTTTATTCATTGCTGGGATTTAATGAAGAGAGTAGTTGGTATGTATATTTATCTTACTTAATTCAAACCTTTTGACATGTTGTTCTGTTCTGTCTGACTGCCACAGCAAATAGTTCTAACGATAGCCAAAAGCACAGATGAGGTAACTCATTCTCTGCTGACAGAAAAAGTTCTCAGTACTGAGAAGATCTCCAGCACAGACTCAGGAGATCTTTCAATGATCATCGTTGCACTTGTTATAGAACGTAGGTGTGCAATCCTATTCATGTTTAGACAGAAAAACCCTACAACTCCCAGGATATCCCACCTGTGCTGTCTTGGCCACACCAAGAGTTGGACTTTTCCTGATTAAATAGGCATAGGATTTTATTCTATATGTATAAGCCAGCTCCAAATGCAGATTTTTTAATGTATTTTGATATATTCCTATAATGTATAGAATCCATTTTACTCTTTTGATCACTTTTTTAGCATGAAGGCAAATAAAGATGGAAGGTTCTTCTTTGGTAGCAGCCACTTACCTCAGCATGGTCCTGCCTGTGTGGTCCTTTCAGCTGGTGCTGGTGCTGCCCATCAGTCTAGGAAAGATGGTCTCCCGGCACCATTGCCTTGCCTTGAAAACAGGTGTGCTGCCTGGTTCTTCATCTGCTTCATCTTCAATGTCCTGGGGATGAAAAGTTTCTATGCTGGGATATTAAAACCTGGACATAAGCAGTTCTGCTTGCCTGCTGAATGCTGTCACAAACAGGCTGAGTACTCCAGACATTTCAAATAAATGTTTTGCTTCCTCCATCATTTTAATTTTACCTTAAAAGAAAAAAAAAAGCAACTGTAAATTTCCTTCAATGGTGTCCCTCACTTATACTGGAGCTATCCAAAATACTGGGCAGAAAACCAAAACATTTCATTTTTTACAGTTTAATTTTAATGGAGTTATTCTTAAATCTTATCATTTATATGGATGATTATAACTGGTTTATAAAGATGCTTCCAGCAATTGTCTTCCTTTGCTTATATTTCTAGAGGATTCAAAATGCATTTGCACACTCCTTTATGGGTGGGCAACTCAAGGACTGCATGCTTCTCCCTAGCAGAAATAGCAAAGGAAAAGGTGTGCTTGCTTTCTAGTTTGATTGTAAATAAATAGGTTGTTTTATAAGGCCCTCCAGTACGCATTCCTTACAGAGAAAAGTCTTACAGAGACTTTATAAACTAACTTTTCTGTACTGAGATTCTCACACACCAAGGAAAGTTAGAGTTTATATGACTATATCTTTACAACCAAGTTGTAAAGTCTACATTATATGAATTTCAAATACTAAAGACACATTTCTTATTGTAGGCTCAGTATTTTTAATTCAATGTCCACTGAATTCCTGGGCATTTCAACAAAGCAAGTTAAAGGATCCATCATACATAGTTAACAGCAATCTGTATCTTCTAGAGTTAAACTGTCTAAATACAAATACAAATACATAGGGGTGGAGATTAAATTTCCCACGTTTTGCAAGTTATGCTCTGGGGGAAAGAGCTCCACATTTACACAGGAAAACTGCAGTAGGTTGTGAGTGTTTTGTGCCTTGTCTTGGTTACAGAAGAAACCTCACTTGGAGACCGAGGGCATGCTCTATTGACCGTTTAAGGAAATATGCAAATCAACACATGTATTTACAATTTATTCATATAGAACATAGGGTTTCCTCTGTCCTCTGACATATGCATGACACTTGTATGCAAAAGTCTTTGAGGCCAGAGGAAGGGCCACTGGGGGAAATTGCACTGTGCGCATTCAAAGGGAACAGCATCTTCCATTTTACGGTAGAGCAGCCATTGTAGGAGTCAGGGTATTGTACTAGTCCTGAAAGGTCCAGGTCAAATCCCTGCACTCCAAGCTGGCTGGACATCCTGGGGCCAGTCAAAATCTCTGCTTGTCCTCCCTTACAGAGTTGTTGTGAAGATAACGCATGTGGAAGACCACAGCTCAGACAACGAGGCCTGCCGGATCAGACCAAAGCTCTACTGAGTCCAACATTCTGTTTGCACAGTGACCAACAAGTTGCCAATGAAAAACCCATAAGCAGGACAGCACCTCCTGCCCATGTTTCCCAGCAACTGGTGCACACAGCCATACTGCATCTGATGCTGGAGGCAGCATGGAGCCACGAGGACTAGCAGCTGCTGATAGCCTTTCCTAAGCCCCCTCTAAAGCTCTCCACATTGTGGCCCTCACTGTATCCTGTAGTTGTGAATTCCATGTTCGACTATGCACTGGGTGCAGAAGCACTTTCTGACATACATTTGTTTTAAAAGAACCAGATTACCCAAGTGCTTCTGGCAGGGCTTGCTTGCTTTTACCTGTTAGAACAGATAAAAATGTCAGAACATGCATTTATTATTCCAAATGCAGCCTATAGTAAATGTTCCTAATACACTAACCATGCCATGCCCCTGCATCACCTTTCTTATCTCTCTGTGACAGCCATTGTGAAAGATCAATTACTGCTACTAAGACGACGAGGAGGAACAAAGAGCGCAAAGTATTGTTGAGTCGTATTCCTTGCACGCTGCTGTAGACTGAGTTACTCAGCTTAGTTAGTGTGTGAAAGAGAGAGAGAGTGACACTGGGCTTTTCTACACAAGGCATTGTGGGAGCTTTACGCAATGCTGTCATCTTCCAGGCCCTCTCCTGTGCTTTTGAAGCATTTTTGTGCACTGGTTTTAGGCTGAACAAAGTGAGCTGTTCTCTATAGACCAAACTATGTGTCTATTAAGGTCTCCTGTACTGTAGCACCACCTTGTGGCAGAGAAAAGCAGAGAAAGAAAAGAACCTTTGTGGGGCAACACACGCAAAGGAGCCTATCTTAATACCCCAATCAATTGGGAAGTGTGCACCTTGCTAAAGTGGTGGGTCTTGTGTAGAGAAGCAAACTGCTGGCATTGCACAACTTGAGCTTGAAGTGTGGCATCTTTGATTGTGTGAACAGGCATGTTGGGTTGCTCTCAACAATAGGGGGAGAGAATGTGCGCCTTTCAAAATAAAATCAGCTTGTGAGATTGCCCATGTGTACCTCTTTATCTAGGCTTCTCCTTAGTGTAACCTGTTTATGTTTTATTAGAGTGTGAAGCAAAAACCAGGCGACTTGTGTGCCCTTTTCCTCGTTCTTTCTCCCCCTGTCCCCAGCCCACCCAACAAAAAGTCTCAGACTGATTAGCAGTAGGGGACAGGTTTTGGTGCATGTACAACTGCTCAAGTGCAGAGATTTGTTAAGGAAGAGCTGTAAAGCCCTGAGCCTTCACTTCCAGGGAAGCAAATACCATATTGTGTGCCGAAAGTGCAATTGCTACAGCAAAGTGAAGGAAGAAAAGTAATGGTAAACATAACAAGAACAGTGCTTGCCCCTACATGTTTTAAATCCCCACCACAGGATGAGCGAGGCTGTGTTGCATCCTTAGGGGAGGACGCGTGAATATTTAGCACAACAGGCCTTCAGGATCAGAGCCTAAAGTGTTCCGTCTAGCCCAGCATCCTGTTTCCAGGATACCTCCAAAGCCCACAAGCAAGACATGAAGACCGCAGGGAAGACAAACCTGGCCATATCCACTGGCCAGAGCTGCTGCTTCAGGGCTTGCTTTCCTCTTCCCTCCTTGTTCCTTTTTCCTTTAATGGCATATCAATTCAGTTCAGAATAGGCAAGCTGGACTGTTCCTATCCAACGTGTAATGCAGTATTTGAACCATGTTAGACACTTCGTTAGCATTCATCATCCTCACAGAAATTAGTATTCTGCTTCTGAAAATATGCAGGTTATATTAAACTGTAATGGTTAATAGCATTTTACAAACATCTTTTTCTACCCTTAATTTCTCTATACTCCCCTTTTAATAAGAACATTCTGCTCCCATTGGTAAATTATCCTCAGATGTGGTAGCAAACATCACAAAGGCCCATGCTTTCAATTCTTTCTGTCTTCATATGGGAGACAGGAAGGAGCTTTTCCCCAGTATTTCACCCAGTGTTAGAGAGCTTGTAGCCCTCCCAGTGTTGGGTCCCCAACTTCCACCCTTCCCAGCGTCACCAATGGCCAGATAAGAAGCTCCACAAGGAGCTTGAGGAGCACTCATTTCCTCAGTGATCCCCTCCAGTCCTTGAATATACAAGGCAATTCCCAGTCTTTAAAAGCCAGAGCGAAGAGCATATTGCGTCCGCAGAGAAGCAGCCGACGTCGTGAGAAAGGCGGGGTGGGAGGGCACGGGCTTCGCATGCATTCCACTGTAACGTCCGTCCTCAGCATTTCCCCACTATCAGAGTTCAACACACCAGGGAGCCAATGCATGTCAGAACACGGTGCCAGGTTGGATGGACAGGCTGAGTCTTAACCAAATAACAAGCACCTTCAGGTTTCAAAAACACTCTGTGTAAGCTGTTCCTTATCCAGACTGCTTGAAGTCTCAGCAACTGTTCTGAGGTTTGTATATACTTAGTGCGTGAAAGAGATAAGGCGTGCTCGAATGTCTTGTTTGTGTTCCCCAGCAGTTTGGTCGCAATGTGCATGAGTTCACCTGCACACAAGGACTGCCCAGAGACCGTGGCGGGAAGGAGATGGTAGGTCCGAGATCTCCCAGTACCACTTGCAATACTGAGGATCTCGATCTCCCAGTGGTTTGGAGTAGGGGCACCAAAAACCTACCCCTCCACACTAACCCTTCAGTCTCATTTAAGGCAAGATCAAGAAAGCATTTTGGGGGAGAAATAGATGTGGCTACAAAATAATTGTGTGAAGCCTCCAAGTTCTGGTTTTTGAAATCAACTCCACGGACTTGCTCATTTTGCCCCTGGCTCAGTCTGGTGGACATCATGATTCCAGTGAAAACACAGACGTCTCCCAGCCCTCCAGCGAGGCATCCATGCCCACGGGACTCATCTGCCACTGAGGTTTCCCTATTGAACTTTATAGGAGCTGTCCATGGTGCTGAATTCTGTCCCCAAAATAGGTTCAGCAACATAGGTAGCTTCAGTAAAGCTGAAGAGAAAAGTAAAGCTAAGATTAAAATGAATGTCAGTCATTTAAAAGGGACACCATTTAATATTTTAAAAATATTTTTTCTACCTTGCTTCCTCAGCCAGGGCAAACTGGGACTTCCTTTCCTTTCAAAATGGGTTTTACCCATTGAAAAAAATAAACTAACACTCTCACAAGGTGGACTCAATGGTCTAATCTGCCCCTTCCAAATCTGTACAATTTTACTTCTTCATGGTCAGTGGAACATTTCAGATAAGGAGATCAGTGAGCAAGCCACTTGTGTGTGTGCGAGAGTCAAATGGCAGCGACTGGCCTCGTGCAGGATGCAGTTTCTGACCTTGCTGGGTGAAAATTGCCTGGTGGCACTTAACGGCACACATGATCGTAAGAGGGAAGTGTGCATGCATGTGTGTTTTCTATCTTTTGGTCCAGGTTGTGAGTGAGTGAGTGAGTGATTTCATGCCCAAAACTGAACTGATTGAGTAACTTTGACCAGGGAGACATGGTTTCAAGTCGCCACTCAGCACTCAACTCCCTAGATTATCTTGAGCTGGTATTTCTCTTTCAATCTAATTGAAAGCAGGGCCTTTTTTACAGGGATAACTCCACATTTGTTGCCCTGAGCATTTTGGAAGAAGAGCAGGACAAAAGTTGATTTATGTGGTGTTGGCTTCTGCTATATCTCCTCTTACAGTTTCGAAATGCATGTACTTTCCAATTTGGAGATCCACATTTGCATCACCCCTGTTTGTCTCTTCCTGAAGACGACACAGTGTTCTGCATGTGTTCACAGCTTGCCTCATACGTGTGGAGGTATCAGTAGGAGATGCTGGTCCAGTATCATAAAAATCAACACACGAACCCTCCCATTCTGCAGTTGAGTCCACTGACATCTTGCTGTTGATGACTGTATTCAAGGTCTGTGTGAACTTTTGAAGCTGCTCCTTAGAGAGGCTTCCAGAAGGAAGCACATAGCAAACTTGTTCCTATAATTTGCCCCATGGGCTCCAGTCCAGGGATGTGGTTGAGGGACAGTGAAGCAAAACATATGTAAAACTTCATACCTATCAGAAGAGGTGCATGCAAGCCCCATCTGAGAGGAGAGGACGGTTGGTCTTGCAGTTTTTCCCAATGCAACAAGTGCCTGAGGCAGCAATCTCCTTTCAGAATGCAGTTCTGGGACGGATATGTGCCTTCCAACCTGGTGTAGCTGCCTGGCCATGTAAAAGACAACAAACACCCCATGCTTTCCTTTTGAGCCTAAATGCGTGATATCCAGTGCAGCCACTTTTAAACTCTTCTCTGTTTACACTACAGAAGGGCTCTTCGTGATGGAGCTGAGCTGAGTTCAAAGCCTTTCCTGGAAAGGGATCTTTGTTGGATGTTTGTAGGGAAGAACAGTGTTTAGGTGGTTGTGTGGCTCAGAGACTTGTAGGAGGCTTCCGATTCTGCTGGGGCTGAGGATGATGAGATGAGCACAGGGGCCTAACACCAGGAACACCATTTTACAGTGGGTGATACACTGGGCTGGGTCCTTCCTTTGATCCCACGCACCCTCGTGTCTCTGCTCATGACAGGCTAGAAGGTGAGGAAGAGACAAGGCATTGAGATTTGACACCCGAAGACTGCAGGTAGTGACTGCAATCAGTGAGATTTATGTGCTACAGAAACATCTATGGAGCAGAGTTGGGCAGGCTGTGGGCAGCTCAGTGGTAGGATATTCCCAGCAGACCACGTGTCTAGGCTCTGTGTAAGGTCTCCAGCCAGGGACAGTCATCCATGCACACGTGTTCTGCATGGCAAGTTCCAACACTGAACTGATCTTAGCCTTGAGAGGTTTCTCCTCCTCTTTAACCAGGCCACTGAATCTTAAGCCCATGAAATGGAGTCCTGGAGCACCAGAGAATAACCAATCTTTGCTTTATTTGATGCAATAGTCCTTCAAGGGTTTGAAGAGTGCTAGCATGTCTGTAACCTCTTGAACTCAGGTCTCCCAAAAGTACCTGCCAGCCAGCCATGTTGGGGGAAATTTTGAAGTGCAGGTGCTCGTGAACTGCAGAGTGATTGGTCCAAAGCCACGCCCCCAGGGAGAATCCAAAAATGCAGGCGCCAATATCAAAGTATCAGCAAACCATCTCGAGCTTATTTTATCTCTACCGGGATCAGGTCTTTGGGATAACCAATGGGTCTTTAATTGCCCATTTTAGACAGTGCAGCTCCAAAATACTTTGCATTACAACAAGGAACCATGTGCAACAGCTTGGAAAACTGATTTTCTGCACCACACCAAGCAATTGTAAAGGCTGCGGCTACATTTAGAAAAAAAACAGGGAATTCTAACTTGCCTGACAGGGCTGATGTGAGGATAAAATGGAGAAGAGAAGGGTTTGGTAGTTGTTGAACTGTGGCTTATTGTATGCCACAGTTCCATGGCTTGTGAACCATTAACAACCCATAAGGAGAAGCTGTGGCTGGTTATTGGGTTAGAATTACGGGTTGTTCACCCGTTTGTTATCTTTGCCAGGTTCAGGCAACACAATAACCTCTAACCTTGAGTGTGGGTTATTGTCTGAACCCAGTCCCTGTCTCACAGGGCCTGCTGACAGCACGGGTCCTGCCTCCACAACATTAAAGTCTGGCTTTGATTTAAATATGACTAAATACATCCAAACCTTGTTTCCTGGTCCTCTACCGGCAGTGCAGGCCTGTTTTGGAAGAGGAGGCAAAGCAATAAACACCTTTATCAAGCAACAGACTCAGTCAAACTCCTGTGTGAACAAGCCCAGTTCGTGCTGCGCTGTATGGCCCAGCTCTGGCTGTGTCCAAGCTGGCTGGGAGTGCACAGGCGGGGTGCTGTCAAGTTGCTGCAAAGCAGATCTCTGGCTCCCTCAAGAAGGCAGCCTCACCGGATCACAATTCCCTGTCAGTACAGAGAGGGAAAGGGCTTCCTCTGGCACTGAAGTTCTGATCCATGTAGAGCTTTATATGCACACAGAAGCGCCTTGAACTCAACCTGGTAGCATTCCGCCTGCCCGCCAGAGCTGGTGCAACGTGATCTCAGGAGACCATCTTGCTTGGCAGCACACCCACCGTGTTTTGCACTGCTGCTGCGTCCGGGCCAAGCTCACATCCAGCTTTAGGTAGAACACACTGCAGAAGTACAAGCTCAGGCTGCAAAGTGCACGGACTGCTGTGGCCAGAGGTTCTTTGTCTGGGAACAGCGTGACTGACGTGCCAGCCAGAACTAGGGAAAGGGCAGAGAGAGCAAGACCACAGATCCACAACTTCCCTAATCCCTGGGCAGGGGGACCGCCTATCCGTATCGGTTTTGCCAGGATTCAGACCTAGCTCATTGGCCCTCATCCAGCCCAGTGCTGCATTCGGACACCAGTCCACAGCCTGCACAGCTTCTTCTGCTTCAGACAGTGCAGAGAAAAGAGGACTCTGTGTAGAAGATTAAAAAGAAATATATTCCCCTAGATTAATCTGTTCCTTAATCCATTCCCTAGATTAAGGCAATCATTAAAGGTGGATTTATTTGGTGTAGTCTGGGTCCATTCAGGGCAAAAAGGGAAATATTAATACATAAAGCATGGGTGTTCTTGAACCCAAAACAAAACTCCTAGGGGTATGCAACCGAGGTGGCTTGCAAGAGGAGGGGGCTCCTCTGCATGAGGCATTTAACGACTGAGGGTTTGCTTCCAGAAGCCTGGCAGCATTACGATCGGCTTGCATGCATCTTTCCCCCCGCCAGGGTCCTTTCTTTCTGAGCTTCTCCGTGTGTTCCATTACTCTGCCACAAGGTGGCGCTGCAGCACAGCAGAACTGCAAAAATCCAGAAGCTTTCCATGGTGCCATTTGGGAGGGGTGCCAGTCACCCCACAACATAGCCCTCGAAGTTAGGCTCATGTCCCCTCTCCTAGGCTGGTGTATGTGACTTGCCTGCATGTTTGGCTTAGAAATAGCCCCAGTTCTGCAATGCTGCCCTGGAGGATGAAATGGGAGGGCTTACCTCTCTCTCTCAGCCATGTCCTGTTTCTCTTCTGCCCTGTAAGGATAAATAGCCCTCTGAAGTGTCGCATTTCCAAAACAGGAACAGAAAAGAATAATGTGCCCTCCCGGTTAGCCCGGCATCCTTCCGCTCTGCGATGCCCAATGAATCCACTCTACCTTTCTTTCCTTGCTCTGTTCCGCTCCTCTTCAAACCTAAAATGAGGCGAAGGAGATCAACCATCACACACCACTTGTTAACGCTCACGAGAGCCCTCTCCCTTGGGATGAGAAGGGGCCAAAAGGTCACTCCTTTGTCCACTTTTATATGTTGAAATTCCTTTTCTTTCTATTGGTGCTTTAAGAGCAGCAGTCCTTACCTGGCTTCATTTCTCTTGCCCAGCAAGAAGCACTTAAATAGCCCTTTCCTTGGTTTCCTATTTCTGTTTATACCCTGCAACAGCAGACTACCTTTTCAGTACCAGGAATTACCAATGATTATTCACTGAGAGAGGGCAAGATTTACAAAGCATACAGGGGTAGTGTGCCAGTGGTGAGTTCTTCCAAGTGCCTTCCAGGGAAGCAGATCAGATCAGATCTCCACATACAGACATTTCTGGGGAAATGTTTGTATGCGGAGCCAAAGGAATAAGACCTGAAGAACAGACTTTCAGACAGTCTGGTACGATACATAGGGCACTGTATAGAAGAAAGAGCGGTTAGCATATCAGCCAGGAAGTCTTTTTCAAGCAGGCAGGGCCCAATCCTCTGGCTCTGGCATTGTCTGTGGTGGCTGCAAGATTTCTCAGAGAGACAGCCTGCCTTTCCAAAGGCACAAACTAGCCTCAGAGGCAAGGAAAGGGTTTACGGGGTGGGGGACCGAGGAATCTGCATCTAAACAGCAAGCCCGCTTCCCTCTCCCCCACTCTGAGCCACTTCATCTGGGTGGGCAAAGGCAGCCCCTTGGGTGCACATCAGCTTCCAGTTTCAGAGGCTCACCTGCCCCATGTGTGGGGAGCATGTGATGGTGACCCAAGTGCCTTAAGTGCAATGTGGACGTTGCCCGGATCTTAGACGGCGGACAATCAAGCCACTTTCAAGGCTCGGTCACGCATTTACGCGCCCTTGAGAACGGAAGGGAAGAGCCATGAGTGCACAGCAGACGTGAAGCTGGCAAAGCGAACCTTGTGCGATGGGAGTTCATAAGTTGGTCTCCCATCCTGGCCCAGTGAGAAGGCCAGCCCTCTGCACAGACGCGAGCAGTGCAAGCGCCAGCAGGTAGAGCCGGTGCTTGCTTTGGAAAAGAATGTCAGATCTTTTCCAGCTCCTGCACAACGAAGGCCGCATTTGTGCCATGTAAGGCTTTTCAGTTCATTTCCTTTCTTTCACACAGTGCGTTGGTGAGCAGCCAACTGGGAAAGAGGAATGGTTTATGGGGCAGGAGTAGAGAGGTCTGCTGGACTTCGGTTTCAGGGGGCTGCTGGTGAGAGGCTGGAAGAGAGATACTTACTGCAGGATGCAGTCTGGGATCTGGACATGTTGCATGGGGATGCTCCGCGCCAGCTCCTCCAAGGTGTGGATGTACTGGATTTTGCTGATGAATTTAACACTGGGAAGGGCAGACACACACCTCATCAGCACACAGCCCTGCACATGCCCGGCTTTTGCTCAGGCCTCCTGGGGTTAACGTCAGCAATGCTTCTGACCCCACTTGGAAGCTGAGGGGAAGCAAAGTGCTCTTCCTGCAGATGGAAATTCTGCATTGAGATTAACAGATTGCCAGGGGAGAAAATGCTCAGCCTTCCCTCTCTTGTTCCTAGGAGGGAAAGCTTGATGCTTCCACTTCAAACAGGCTAAATTATTTTTCTGCCATGCCCTTACATTTCTTTGCAGCCCTTCCTTATAGAACTCCCACCAGCAATTCCCCATGTTAGCCATAAAAGGATCCTGTGAGGTAGGCTCATCTGAGAGAAGGTAACCAACTTGATTCTTGCAAATCTCCTAAATCAAACCTGGCATCTACAACTCCTATTGTCCCCAGACAGTGGGCATGCTGGCTGAGGATGATGGGGGTTCAAATCCAATGCTTTATTTCCCATGCACAGAGCATTACAAAGCAGTTTGAGCACCAAGATGAAAGAAACTCTCAGCCAAAATTAAGCCTTATACGTTCCCCTGATGCGATGCAGCATTATTGCATTTAATATTTGGCGTTGCATGCAGACTCAAAGGGACGCAGCCCTGCTTTGCAACCATGAGCTTGTTCTAACAGGTGTGGCAAGGAACTTGGCTGCATTTTCAGGACTGCAGTGTCAATCTGCCCGAAGCACAGGGGCTTGCAGCTCTGCAGAATGTCCTGGATGTAAACACAGCACGGGAGAAGTGAACCGAGCTCCCGCATCCCTATAGAAACTGCACTTATAGAAGGAGGAGTGTTAGGGGTCAGTTCCATCTTAGGGGGGCCTAAAGGGAAAAAGCCACCATTTCACATTCACTGGCAGCTCTGGGCTACAAACAGAAGAGATGAGAGTTGGAGGGTACTGGATGCTGGCATTGCAAAGCATGTTTCCTGGCTGCAAGGGTGGAGGTCTACTCAAGAGCAAGCAGCTCCACTTAGTGACCTAAATTATGGGTCAGGTGCCCAGGCACCAAACAAGAGGAGTTCCAAAACCCATCTGTAGGCTGAAGAGGGTTCTTTGGGGAAGCCTCCACAGAGGGTGGGAGGAAGGTCTCCCTGGTCCAGGCACTAAAATTTTGTCTCCCAGAAAGAGAGGGAGAGAGAGAGACGAACTGGGCCACACAGCCCTCAGATCTGCAACAGCAGTGAGTAGGTATTTACGCAGGGCTGTTCTGTTTTCTTTGTCATTTGCCGCTGAGTGACCACTTCACCATCCTCTTCCTCGGTGCTCTGAAACGCTTTCCCCATCCTGTGATTTTGGCCTGGACCCTTATCGGGATGGCTTGCCTGGGGGAGAGGGTGGGGAGGCCCACAAGGGGCATGCCACACCGTGGATCCTGCTAACCCTGATGGCGCGCCCAAGCGGCACGCCTGCTCCTCAGCCACATGTCCCCAGGGACCTGCAAGGGACCCGAGCAATGGGGGACATAGGAGACAGGACGGGCTGCTCTCCGCGGGCCTCGGGCCACCGCACTGGCCGCTGTGTCTCTGTCACGCTGTTTCTCGCGGCTACGGCTCTCCAGCACCAGGCTTCCTCAGCAGCGGTAAGGAACCGAGCCCTGGACAAGGTGCTTTTCTCCTTGGGATTGCTTGGTGGTGCCAAGATTCTTCCCAAGGACAGCAGAGCTGTGCAGGGCGGTGGGCGGCTGAAATCTGTTCTCCCTGCACGTCGCGTGGGCTCTCAGAGTGGTGAGACAACCGATTGCATTTTTGTTTGGCCAGCCCTTGCAAATTTTGACTTTCAATAATCTGGCTTAGGCAATGAGACAACTGTGGGTTCTCTTGAAGTATGAAGGGATTAAAATGTGATCGAAAGCAAAGAGAACAAGCAAAAGCAGAAGAAAAAAGAAAAGAAATCCATGCACGGTTTAAATGCTTTGAAGCCAGGCTTCTCCCCAACCCCCGCTGCTGCCCCCATCAGCGTTTCCTTCTTTACCTGATGAATGGCCGTGATATAGCGAGCACCGTCCGAATGAACCATGATGGATGAACAATGATCAATGCCTTCAGGTTTTTCCGCAATCTGTATGAAGGAGTTGAGCAAAGCAGTCAGAGCGGTTGCCCTCCGGGATATTTATTTATTTATTTATATTTAAAGCTTTTCTATACCGCCCCATATTTAGATAGCATGAAGTCTGTGCAGTGTCAAAATTGCACCTCCCCCATACTAATTTGATCTCACAGCTCTTTGCATTGATTTATTGATGATGTTCCAGAAGGTTCCAAGCCCAGCTGAAGGTGCAAGGGGGCCTTGGTGCCTGGATGATTTCAGTGGGTGAGATTTAAGCAGCTGCTAAATCTCTTCTGTTGAAATGAGTGAGTAGGGCAAACCCTATTGGAATCTGTTCTCCAAGTATTTGCGGGCTTCCTTTTGGGCTCAGCCTGGTCTTCCAAAGCAAGCCGAAGCAAGAGGACATCAGCTTGCAGACCTCCTGGCTGCGCGCTGCAACCTTCTTCCACATCGGTTGTGGCCACCCAAACGGCTGCCACGCCGGACATGTGCAAGAGGGGCATTGCTTGCACAGCAGGTCAGGCCCTGATCCTAAAACAACCACTGAGTGTACTTGCCAGGAAACTGGACGCAGTGCTGCTGCAAAATGGATCAGGATCCGGAGGGCTGGGCCCAGTCCCAAAAGGATTCCTCACCCTCGGAGCTTCACTGCAACTCCACTCCCACATCACCTTGGCAGGCTGTAGGATGTGCCCAGTTGTTCTGGAGTTAATCCTCACCTCCTGTCGATCATTTGATAGCATTTTTTCAGCCAGCCAATTCCGGGCATCCTTCGGCGTGGCGTGGCACCGTTCAGGTACACGATCATGTAGTCTTCGGCCACCAGGAGCTCCAAACTACTGATCACGTACCTGATAGGAGAAAGGCAGAACGTTTTGATACATTTGTTCACTGACTGTGTTGCTCTGCAGGAGCAAAAACGGGGGATTCAAAGTCTTGTGTTTCTCCCACGTCTAACTAGTCATTGAGGGCAAAGGAGGAAAGGGGCAAGCCAGCAAAACTGTTTGGGGACTTTGGGGAGCTGGCGGACTCACTGGTGGTGGCCAGCTGATACTGAGCAGGGATGACCTTTGCTGCAAACTCACTGAATATATTCTCCCTGGCACACCCTGAGAGCTCAGCTGTGGAGAACAAAAGGTCCCCTTTGTTTTGAATTATTCCCAAAGTATAATCATGCTTTTAAATAAAACTAAAACAAAATATACATGGTTAAAAGCTGAATTCTGAAGCCCGTGGAGTGCAATATTCCTTGCTTGGAATATATCCACCTTATGGAGCAGAAAACAAGTGGTATTCTAAACACCCTGAAGCAAGCTGGCTGCCTGGAAGTCCACACCCCATGTCAGAAGAAGGGGTTTCCTCTCTGGAGCTGGCTTGATTTGGTCAACCCAGAGGTGCAAAGGGAAGGAAGCAGAGCAGAACCTGAAGCAAGACCTCCGCCTTGCTCCTTTGGGGTAAGACGGAAAAGGCACTCACAGGAAGAGGTTTTCCATGATGTAATGGTACTCGGGTAGGTTACTGTCAGGCAGGTAGCAAGCTGCAAAAACAATGATGGCATTCAGCCCTTCTCCATAATAACCTGAGAGAGAGAGAGAGAGAGGCAACAGAATGACTGGCTGAGCTCCAGAAAAAGGGAGAAATGGTTCTGGCTTCCTCTGTGTTTCCTGTTTCCAATTTGGGTTCTCTTGCACCTCAAGAATTGCTCCATTTCTCAGTTTGGTTCATCCTGAACTTTTAAATAGAATTGGTTATACAGTTTGCATGAAAATTCATAAGCATTTTTGCATGCTTTGATCCAACATGCAAATATTTTGCAAGCAATTTTATTGATTACTGTTAGATTTCTATCCTTCTCCCTGGATCACTGCCTTGTTGGGGCGAAGGGGCTTGCGTAGCTCAATGAAGCAATGAAGCTATGAGCTATGCCATGCAGGGCCACCCAAGATGGACAGTTCATAGCAGAGAGCGCTGACAAAACGTGATGCACTGGAGAAGGAAATGGCAACCCACTCCAGTACCCTTGCCATGAAAACCCCATGGACAGTACCAAAGGGCAAAACGATACGACGCCGGAAGATGAGCCCCTCAGGTTGGAAAGTGTCCAATGTGCTACTGGGGAAGAGCAGAGGGCTAGTACTAGTAGCGCCAGGAAGAGTGAAGCGACTGGGTCAAAGCCGAAAGGACACGCAGTTGCGGATGCATCTGGTGGTGAAAGGAGAGTCCGATGCTGCAAAGATCTATACTCCATAGCCACCTGGAATGTAAGATCCATCAATCAAGGCAAGCTGAACATCGACATCTTAGGAATCAGTGAACTAAAAAGGACAGGAATGGGAGAATTTAATTCAGGTGACCATCGGGTATACTACTGCAGGCAAGAATCCCTCAGAAGAAATGGAGTAGGTTTCAAAGTCAATGAAAGAGTAGGAAAAGCAGTACTGGGATACAATCTCCAAAATGACAGAATGATCTCAGTTCGAATCCAAGGCAAACCATTCAGCATCACAGGAGTCCAAGTCTGTGCCCCAACCACTGGTGCTGAAGAGGCTAAAGCCAACCAGTTCTAAGAAGGCCTACAACACCTTCCAGAATTAACACCAAAAATGATGTCCTTATCATCGTGGGGGATTGGAATGCTAAAGTAGGAAGCCAAAAGATAACCAGAATAACAGGCAAGTTTGAAGCAGGGCACAGGCTGGAAGAATTTTGTCAAGAGAATACGATGGTCATAGCAAACACTCTTTTCCAACAACCCAAGAGACGACTCTGCACATGGACATCACCAGACGGTCAGCACAGAAATCAGATTGACTGTGCTCTGCAGCCAAAGATGGAGAAGCTCTATACAGTCAGTAAAAACTACACCAGGAGCTGACTGTGGCTCAGATCATGAGCTTCTCGTTGCAAAATTCAGGCTTAAATTGAAGAAAGTAGGGAAAAGCACTAGGCCACTCAGGTATGACCTAAATCATATTCCTGATGAATATACAGTAGAGGTGACAAATAGATTTAACGAATTAGATCTGATAGACAGAGTGCCTGAAGAACTAGGGGTGGAGGTTCGCAACATCAGACAAGAGGTAGCAACTAAAACCATCCCAAAGAAAAAGAAATGGAAGAAAGCAAAATGGCTGTCTGAGGAAGCTTTACAAATAGCCGAGGAAAGAAGGGAAGTGAAAGGCAAGGGAGAAAGAGAAAATATAAACAATTGAATGCAGAATTCCAGAGATCAGAAGAGAAGAGATAAGAATGCCTTCCTAAATGAACAGTGCAAAGAAATAGAAGAAAACAATAGAACAGGGAGGACCAGAGATCTCTTCAAGAAAATCGGAGATAGGAAGGGAACGTTTCATGCAAAGATGGGCATGATAAAGGACCACAATGGCAAGAACCTAACAGAGGCAGAGGAGATTAAGAAAAGGTGACAAGATTAAACAGAAGAACTATACAGGAAAGAGCCTGACGTCCCTGATAACCACGATGGGGTGGTCACTGACCTCGAGCCGGACATCCTGGAATGTGAAGTCAAATGGGCCTTAGAAAGTCTGAGCAACAACAAAGCTAGTGGAGGTGACAGTATTCCAGCTGAGCTATTCAAAATCTTAAAAGACGATGCAGTAAAAGTGCTACACTCAATATGCCAGCAAATTTGGAAAACGCAACAGTGGCCACAGGATTGGAAAAGGTCAGTTTACATTCCAATCCCAGAGAAGGGCAATGCCAAAGTATGTTCAAACTACCGCACCATTGCACTCATTTCACATGCCAGCAAAGTGATGCTCAAAATCCTGCAAGCTAGGCTCCAGCAGTATGTGGACCGAGAACTACCAGAAGTACAGGCAGGATTTCGAAGAGGGAGAAGAACTAGAGATCAAATTGTCAACATACACTGGATCATGGAGAAAGCTAGGGAGCTCCAGAAAAACATCTACTTCTGCTTCATTGACTATGCTAAAGCCTTTGATTGTGTGGATCACAACAAATTGTGGCAAGTTCTTAAAGAGATGGGAGTACCAGACCATCTTATTTGCCTCTTGAGAAACCTGTTTGTGGGTCAAGAAGCAACAGTGAGAACTGGACATGGAACTACTGATCGGTTCAAAATTGAGAAAGGAGTTTGGCAAGGCTGTATACTGTCGCCCTGCCTATCTAACTTATATGCAGAGCACATCATGAGAAAGGTGGGGATAGATGAATCACCAGTTGGAATTAAAATTGCTGGGAGAAATATCAACAACCTCAGATATGCAGATGATACCACTCTAATGGCAGAAAGTGAAGAGGAACTAAAGAGCCTCTTGATGCGGGTGAAGGAGGAGAGCACAAAAGTTGGCTTAAAACTCAACATTAGGAAAACTAAGATCTTGACATCCAGTCCTCTCACTTCCTGGCAATTAGATGGGGAAGAAATGGAGGTAGTGACAGATTTTATTTTCCTGGACTCCAAGATCACCACAGACAGGGACTGAAGCCAAGAAATTAAAAGACGCTTGCTCCTGGGGAGGAAAGCTATGGCAAATCTAGACAGCATACTAAAAAGCAGAGACATCACCCTGCCAACAAAAGTGCGTATAGTCAAGGCTGTGGTTTCCCAGTTGCAATGTACGGCTGTGAAAGCTGGACCATAAGGAAGGCTGAGTGCCGAAGAATTGAGGCCTTTGAACTGTGGTGCTGGAGGAGACTCCTGCGAGTCCCTTGGACCGCAAGGCGATCAAACTGGTCAGTCCTAGAGGAGATCAACCCTGACTGCTCTTGAGAAGTCCAGATCCTGAAGATGAAACTCAAGTACTTTGGCTACCTAATGAGAAGGAAGGACTCCCTGGAGAAGAGCCTCATGCTGGGATCAATTGATGGGAAAAGAAAAAGGGGGCGGCAGAGAATGAGGTGGCTTGATGGGGTCACTGAAGCAGTTGGCGTGAGCTTGGGTGGACTCTGGGCGATGGTGGAGGACAGGAAGGCCTGGAGGAATGTTGTCCATGGGGTTGCGATGGTTGGACACGACTTCGAGACTAACAAGAACAAAGATTTCTATCCTGCCCTCCCAGGCTAATATGCTACATTTGGGTATGTTATTTTCACTAAAAAAAGATGTGGTTATGTGCCTTTCTTTAATAATATGGATATCTCAGCTGCAAAATCGAGGGAACTGTGGACTGTGAGGATAGCCAAGTTTCCATTCACAGTGGTTCAGATCTGTGAAACTGGGAAATTAAAATGTTCAGCTTCAGAGTGCTGGTCTGGGACTCAGGAGATCCGGGTTCAGAGTCTCAGTCCAACCTTCCTCGCAGGGCTGTTGTTGTGAGGATAAGGCTGTGAGGTGCTGGTGGAGAATTACGTAAGCCACCTGGAGTTCCTTGAAAGGAAAATCGGCGGGCTGCAAATATAATACATGACTCAGTAATATGCAGAGCCAGCACGTTTCTCCGCACCCGTGATCCAAGATGCCATTGCAATTGACACCTGAATGGGTGCATCGCGCACGTGGATTCTGTGCGGAAGGGCCCGCCGGGTCTGGGGGAGTCCTGGCGAGGGCAGCCCCCGCCAGGCGCCTCACCTCCGTGCGTCACCACTTTCATGTACGGCTTGATCATCTGCAGGTCGATGCGGTGCTCCTGCTCGCCGATGATGACCGTCCTCCACAAGCGGCCATTGGTGGCGCTGCCGTCTTCCCCAGTGCCATCCCCAAACAAGTCCGCGCTGTCTCCTGGCATGTTCTTGGCTGTGGCCACAGGAGTGTCATCTGCGGAGGGGAGAGCAAAGGGCGTGTCTTAGCTGCCCCAGCCGCAAAAGGGCCTGCGCTGTGAGGAGCAAGTTCTTTGCGGGGGCTTCCTGGGGCCAGCTGGGAGTGCTTCGTGGAGCAGCTTGGCGGTAGCGCCCTCGCCTTAAGGCTCATGCCACTTCTGCGCCTGGGCTGCAGGACTTGGCCGAAGTGCGTGGCGGCAGCAGCAGCCTGGCCCTGACAAACGGCACCCGCAAAGCCATTCTGCCGGTGCAGCGGTGCCCAAAGGGTCGCATTGCGCTAGTGGGGCTCTTGCGGTTGCGAGAGCCCCAGGCATCTTCCCTTCTCAACTCATGAGTGGCCTGTTGAAAGCTGCAAAAATCAAGAGCCAGCATGATGTAGCTATCCGGGTGCTGGAGTGGCACTTAGAAGCCCTGGATTCAAGTCCCCACTCAGCCATGAAGTGCAATGGGTGACTTTGAGCCAGTCACAACTCTCCACCTGGCCTCCCTTACAGGGTTGTTGTGAGAACGAACCTCTGTCTAAGGAGCAGGACTATGTTAGATGCCTTGGTTCCACACGGGAAGAAGGACAGGACAGGAATGCGGTGAGAGAAAGAGCAAGTGCGAGAGAAGGACAGGCGGATGGACGGCTGGGTTGCCAGCCCCACCCGGCCTGGCCAGCGTCAGAGCCCCATCTGGCAGGCGCTGCCTGTGGGAGGGGGCCCTTCCCTTACCCTCCCACTCTAGCTCGTTGCCGTTGCCCAGGAACTCGAGGGAATCGGTCTCGTCCGGGGTCTCAATGTCATCCACGTTGATGTCCAGGTCATCAGGTGTGTCCAGGAGGTCATCGGACAGGAGTGACCCTTCACTCTGATCCAAGGAGATGTTGATTTCTGGGGCAACCAAGGTCTTCCGCTTGTGATGGGCCCCATTACCAAAATTTAATGTATTTGGAGGAGCTGCTGGTGGATATTGGTGGGGAAGCGGGCAGAAAGAAAGAGGAATGGAAAGTGAGTTACCTGGGAGGGATCAGGTAGCCAGCAAGCCGGAAGTGAACACCCACAGGGGCCCAGTGGGATGCCGTTGCTCTTCCTTTTGAGGTGCTACAGCATTTGGTCATGTGAAAGACATACAGTTCAGAGAAGCAATGGAACAGTGTCTCCCTTGCACTGTATGCTTATGAAAGCTTATTTGCATGGCTATACATTTCAGGGCAGTTCCTTTATTCAAAGACAGACAGATAGCAATCACGCGGAATGCATCGGAAAAGCATAGCTAAGAAAACAAATCATGGAGGAGCATTTTATACTGATGAATTCATGTGGCACGCACACACGCACCCACAAATTTAGCTTTCTGGCAGTTGCACATTTAGGAGTTCAACAAAATCAGACTAGATATCCAAATAAGTTTGCACCTGAAAGTGGTGTCAACATGCCACCCATTCCTACATCATAATGCAAGGTCCCCAATCATTGCATTGTCAGAAATGAGCATTTATCCTTCCAAGCTGCAATATCAGTATTTCAGTTATCAAAAGGGCATGAAAAATCCATTTCCATTGGCCATTAATTTCTAAGAAGTGGGTAGATAATTTAAAAGAGCAAATATTAAAGACTGTTCCAGTATAAATTTAGCTGTGTATAAACATAATATCCAGTATAGCTTCCTCCCAAAAAGAAGCAACTACTGGATATTATGTTGAGCCAAATTAGTCAATCCCTTAATAAAGAGATGTTGCCATGCTCAGTACACACGAAACTTTCCTTATTTTTATTTCTTTATTTACTGAATGTGATGCAGCCTCAGATCCACAGATGCAAAGATTAGGATGCCAAAGGGGAACCCTGCTGATTAAAGGGACTGAGGCACCCCGTTCCGTGTTCCACTCCTGCTTGAAATTTTGTATGCCAAATTGACTCTCCAGAAGCACCCTGGATCCCGAGTCACTTTGCCTTACAGAGAAACCCTTGTGGAGGCCTTCCAAAGGTCAGAAATATCAAATCCCACAGAACAATGGCTGAAATGCCAACACCTAAGTCTTAGGAGAAAAGGCCAAAGGAAATCGTCCAAGAGATGGGGCCAGGAGTGGTGTTCAACAGCCCTTTTGCAGAGGCGGCTCCACCACTGCCCACACTTCTCTGGGGTGTGGAGAGCATGTGTGCCTGGAAGAACACACTTTACTGACAAAGACCCCTTTGCATTTCTACTACTCACACAACGTGTTCTCTGTTGGGCTTCCCAAAGACTCCATTCCTGCCTCTTCTGGGAGTGGCCTAGAGGTTGGAGGATGGAGGCACAGGTAGAAGCAGAGACAGAAACAGGCGGTTAAACAGTTTTTCAAAGCAAGCCTCATGTGTTCTTTCCCTTTGATAGTGGAAAAATGCAAGAACTTTCCCTTTTAAGCATTGCTTTGAAATGTTGAGGAATTTTATCATGTTTTGTGTCAGAAAAAGCCCAAATAATTGTTTCCTGTTTTTCCCCCTTTGAAATGCAAGCAATGTGCAACAGGAGAGCTCAGGCCCTTTTGCAGGCTACAAACCTGGTGATAAGAGGGACCACACAGTGGCTTCCATGGACCACGGAAAGGCCCAATTAAGCACACATTTGCTCCACCAACAGTCGCTGTTACAATGCATTGACACAGCTAAGTGCGCTTGCAAATGAAGACAGAGGCAAAGGTTCACAGCTTAAACATAAACATAAAACATAAAAAAAACCCAGAGCAAGTCAGAAGCGGTCTCCCAGGCCATCTAGTCTGACCTCCGGCACCAGCGGGCTCCGCTCACGACATGCCCACCACGTACATGTCCAGCCTATCCTTGAGCACCCGCACCAATGGGGCCTCAACGACCTCCCATGGAAGCCCATTCCACACCCTCGGGGTCCTGACTGTCAGGAAGTGCTTCCTGGCATCTAAATTGAACCTTGCTTCCCTGAGCTTTGCTCCATTGGAGCGCATCCTGCCTTCCTCTGCAGGGGAGAACAGGTCTCTGCCCACCTCCGTGTGACACCTCCTCGCATACCTGTGTGTCACCAACAGATCCCCTCTGAATCTCCTCTTCTCCAGGCTGAAGAGACCCAGTTCCCTCAGTCTCGCCTCATACCCCACCCCCTGCAAACCGGCCACCAACCTTGTGGCCCTGCGCTGCACTGACTCCAACCTGGCTATATCCTTCCTGTAATGAGGGGCCCAAAACTGAACACAATACTCTAGTTGCGGGCGCACCAGAGTCGTGTAGAGTGGTAGTAATCCCTCTCTCGATCTAGAAGCCACACGTCTGGCTATGCAACCAAGGATGGCGTTCGCCCTCTTGGCCACCGCATCACATGGCTGACTCAAGTTCAGCCTGCAGTCAACCAGCACCCCGAGGTCCCTTTCACAAATGCTGCTCTCCAGCCACTTGTCACCTAACCTGCACTTATGACAGCTATTCGTATGCCCCAAGTGCAAGACCGTGCACTTATCCACATTGAACGCCATCCTGTTGTCTCCTGCCCACTTCCATAGTCTGTCCAGATCCTTTTGGATCTGGAGTACCTGCTCCTCAGTTGTGGCCACTGCTCCAGTTTTATTGTCGTCTGCGAATTTGATCAGCAGACTGTTCACCCCTTCTTCCATGTCATTAATGAAAAGATTAAACAGGATCGGCCCCAGGACAGAGCCCTGGCGGACCCCGCTTGTCACTGGCCGCCATCCCGATGATTTCCCGCTAATGGTTACCTTCTGCTTTCAGTCAGTCAACCATGCCCTAATCCACCGGACAGTGCTTTGGTGTATCCCAAAACTCCTCAGTTTCTCCACCAGGATATCATGGGGCACTTTGTCAAAGGCCTTGCTGAAATCCAGGTATACCACATCCACTGCATCCCCTCCATCCAGCCATCTCGAAACCTTGTCATAGAATTCCACAAGGTTTGTCTGGCAGGACCTGTTTTTGCGGAAGCCGTGTTGTGTGGCCGCCATCCTCCTTCCCTATCCAGCATCACTGGATCTCTCTCTATTATGAGCCTTTCCATTGTTTTTCCTGCAATGGGCGTAAGGCTAACAGGTCTGTAATTCCCCATGTCCCTTCTACTACCCTTTTTGAAAATTGGGACCACTGATGCCACCCTCCAGTCCTCTGGAGCTTCACCCGTTCTGCACAAGGCCTCAAAAATGGAGCCAGCGGGCATGAGAGAACCCCTGCCAACTCTCTGAGTACTCTCGGGTGTAACCCGTCAGGGCCTGGCGTCTTTGTAATGTCCAATGCCTTGAGGAGCCCCTCGACATCAAGGGGGGTGACTCTAATCTGTGCCCCTAAGTCCCCAGCCTCTATGTGGATCTCTCCCGTCCTGCTTTGGGGAGAACACAGAGGCAAAATAGTCATTTAGCCTCTGTGCTTGTTCCCTCGTATCAGTCACTGGATCTCCTTCCTCCTTATTTAGTGGTCCCACCACTTGGCTCCCCTTCTTCTTGCTGTTTACATGCTGAAAGAAGCCCTTTTTGTTGCTCTTGATATTCTTGGCAAGTCTCAGCTCGTAATCAGCCTTAGCCTTGCAAAGAATCCTTCTGCAACGGGCCTTCTCCTCCCGGTATACCCTTTTGTCTATTTCCCCCAGTACCCATTTCCTACGGAGGTTCCCCTTTCGTCTAATCCCTCTAACCACCTTTTTGCATCCATGGGAGCGCTCTCCTCCGCCTCCCCACCTTACTGACTAGAGGTATCGTCAAGGCTTGCGCCTCCAAAACCTCCCTTTGAGTTCTGAGAGCTTTCCGGGCTCTCAGTTCTCATTTTAAGATGAGTGGCCATCAAAGCTTTCCAGGCTTTTCCCCACTGAGGATGCCTCCCACGAATGCTGCCATCTTAAAAATCTGTCCCAGAGTTTAGTAGCTGAATGTCAAACTGATGGTGGTACATTTTCTTGATTAAATGTATAGATTGGTTTATAGTCAAAAAGAAGTCAAAGCAGTTTATTATTCCGTAAGGAACAAACTGTGGTTCAACTTCTCTCTTCCCATAATGGATCCTGTTCTCAGTCTTTCCATCTGGTCATTATAACAAAGACTACTTAACTATGTAAGAATAAATTTGCCTGTTTTCCTTTTCCTTTCCTTTCCTTTCCTTTCCTTTCCTTTCCCCCTTTGGGAACCTTAAAATACCTGCCCTTATATTTCGAATTGTAACTCTGTGTGAGTGTGATGTTAATGAAGGAAAGTAATTTTTAAATGGACCCACACAGAACCTACAAGGTGAGGCCACAAAATGCATTGAACCCTGGAAGGGCTGGGTGCCAAAGCTGCTCTGGGCGCATTTCTGCCCCTCCGGAGCCCTGAAGGTGGCGATGCTCTTCCCTCCTGTGCTTGCCACAAGTCGTTCCGGGACCCAGTTTGAAGTGCTGGTGCTTGCAGACCCCTAAATGGCTTGTGGCCAGTTACCCAAAGGATCATCTCTTCCCATACACATCTGGCCAGGCCCTAAGCTGGTTGTTGGTGGTCCTTTTCCAGGAGGCTCTGCCAAAAGAAGTGAGGGCCATGTCTCCCAAGGAGAGGGGCTTTCCTTTTGTGGCATCTCAATTGTGGTACATGCTCCCTTAAAAAGTTCTCCTGGTTATTCCATTACTCTCCTTTTGCTCCAAGTGAACACCTCCTTATTTTCCCAGGAATTGTAGTCTTCTCGTTTTTTTTTTTTTTAAATTGGAAATAAAAAATATGTGCACTGCAGCTTGGTTTGACTCTGCTTTTTTACTTCCATGCTTTCCTGAGGTTTTCCAGCAGGGCAAAGCATCTTATGAAGAGCTTTATGGTTTCAATTGTTATGACCGACTCTGAGAGCATCAGCAACTACGTGGTTTGGAAATATTTTTAAAGGGAATATAAGAAGGGTTCTCTGCATCTTGAACATTTTGGAAGTCAATGCTCAGTGATAAAGCTCAGAGGATGAATATGGAAGGCGCCCGGGTTCTACCGTCTCCAGCAACTCCAAGGCTGTGTGGAGCCCCTGCTGCCCTGGGGTGGGGGAGGGCAATGCTCTTGGGTAACCTTTTCAAGAAGCCGGTAAGGGTGCTGATTCTCACAGAAGCTACATCGCAGGGTTGTTGTGAAGAGGGAAAATGCACCCTGCCCTGGACGCATGGGAAGAAGGGTGGATGCTCGGAAGAGATATGTCTCCCTGTGCCTCTTCTGACCTGCTGTCATGCATATGTCCTAACTAATTTTTATTGTGACATGTACAGCTGTACATATACCAGCTCCAGTGCTCCAAGTGACCACAGAGAGGCAGACAGAAACTGCCACAAACAGGTGTGAGTTACTACTCCCTCCTGCATCCCAAGATACCTTCGCACTGAAAAGCCAGCTCCCCACATTTCCATGGCATTCAAGTACAAGAAAAACCTTTTGGGTCCCATGGGCATCACTTGGACCTGGAGGCTCTCTTGCGGACACCACCACAAAATGGCTGCCATGCAAGAATGGCCTTTCCTGGTATAGCACCCCAGTTACAAAGCTTGCTTCCCAGAGAGGTGCTCCTGGTGTCAAAGCCAACACTTTATTCATTTTGGCACCAGGCCAAAGCTTTTTATTTTCCCAGGTTTTTTAAATTATTAGATTGTATTTTTTAACTATTTTAGTATCAAGTACTGGCACTTTGAAGTTTTTAATTGTTTGTTGTTTTTAAGTGTTTTGCCATTTTTATTGTTGTAAACTATCATGAGATTCTCTAGAATAAATAATGGTATTGCTCAGTGGTGGCGAACCTATGGCACGCGTGCTGCAGTGGGCACGGCACGCAGAGCCCTCTCTGTTGGCACGTGAGCCAAGTTGCCCCAGCATCACCCCAGCAGCTGAGCATCGGATAACAGCACACATAGGGCCATGCGCATGCTCGGAAAGTAGTGGCGCCAGGCGATGATGTCACAAGCTGCGACTCATTAGCTGCAGCTTCATATATATACACGCGTATATTTGCTTGGACTGACTGTGAGTTGTTTTTTCTAAACTAAAGCCTCGGTATTCAGGTTTTTTTGCAGTGTTGGCACTTTGGGATAAATACGTGGGTTCTGGGTGCAGTGTGGGCACTCGGGCTCTGAAACGTTCGCCGTCGCTGATACAGAGAAACCTTAAACAAACAAAGGGGATCTGGGACTGGCTCAGAGGCCTGTGTGGTGCAGTGAACGGAGACCTGGGGTTTCTGGGTTCCAGTTCCCGCTTGGCCATGGACCACACTGGGTGACTTGCCAGTCACAGACTCAGCCCAGCCTACCTCACAGGGTTGTTCTGAGGATAGGATTGAAA